GGTCTTACGGTGATCCTTGCGCTGGTCAAGTGATGTCACGTCACCACCGTAATCTCCGTGTCGCGTGACTATACACTCGGTGTAAGTGTTAAGGGATGTACGAGAAAGCCAAGCCCCAGTGATCCAAGATGGCGCCGTGTTCAAATGAATGGTTTGTGCTCAGTGGCGGCATGGTCGCTGACATATTAGTGGAACCCGCCTGGAAATCGCAAAGATCCATGGGAAACTCGCCTGTAAAACTCGCCTGTATTTGGGCTTCGTCTGGTCCTCCTGGTTCTGCACAGTGGATTATCTCCCATGATGCGTTGCGCTATCTCCCATGATGCGTTGCCCCAAATACGCATGTGTGGATCTCACATGGGGTCTCACGCACGTGCACAGAGGGGCCCGGCCGCGCTCTGACCAATCAGAGTAGTTCATCAGAGCGGGAGTTAGGGCGGGAGCCAGATGGGCAGAGTTCTGGTATAAGGCCAGATTTCTGTCTTCCAGCTACCCACGGATCCCGACATCTCATCCACCTGAGAGGATTAGGAAAGCAGGCCCGGACCGGAGGATTGGTTTATTTGACAACGCCATGCTGTGATAAGTAAAAGGGATGTAAAAGGGATGTAAAAGGGATGTTGCTACACAATGCCTGGACTTCAGTCAGTCAGTTGGGAAAGCAGTAAGCCCTTCCCCTGTTGGAGCTCAGGCCTAACAAGGCTTCTACTTATATATAACTTTAACCTGCTAGATCTTGAATACAGTGTATAAATCACATAAATACTTTAATACTTAATACAGTATAATGAATATATATTATTTTCTTTCAAACATCTAAATAGAGTTTTTTGTATATGAAATTGTATATGAAAAATGAGTTTTAACACAATTTAAGATTGATCACAGAGTTGATTGTCTTTGGTCCAAGGCACAGGTATAGGCTTGTTGTAAGTAAGCTTGTTGCTTGTTGTACAAAAAATTATAATGCCAATGTTTTTCTACATAATTGAAGTACTTAAGTAGGAACAGGGTGTTCCTACTGCATTGTGGTTCACTCAAGCTCAATAAAATAAAGAATAGTCAAGAACATAAACATTGAGCAATCCCAGAATACCCAAAGCACATGAGTAACTGCCCGTGCAGGAAATATGACATCAATGAGGAACAGCACTCACAAGATTGAAACCTGATTGTTGGAAACACACGCAGTGAGAGTGTGTGTGATGTGTGTATTTGCTTGGTGGTGGTTGCAGATGTCTTTGACACAGACTAGACTCGTGGTGGTTTATCACTACAGTCCGTTGGAGAAAATGAATAATGCCACCTCTTTGGGTGTCATGGAAAGCACTATATAAGTACTATGTATTGTCAATATTGAGATTAAATAAGGGAGAAAACTATTGGTATTTCTGAAGCGATAACATAAGAGTTGACAGTGCAGTATTATTATTCACAATTATGATAAACAAAATGTATGTATTAAAAAACTTCAAAAAAATCCAGTTGGATTGAAGGTAACAATTTGATGGAGCATTCAGGATGATGATGTGCGATCACAAACATCCAAGGAGGTCAAAATACATATTTTGTCTCCAGAGTAAAGGTGAATGATTGGCAGGAACACAACTGATGATTGGCCTGGATGTGTTGTCTAGTCATTAATTAATGATATACATAATCCCCTGCCACCTCACGGTTTCATGTTTGAAGTTCAGTGAGTGCTTCCCTTGGACATCCACTGGACTGGAATTTGGGTTTGCCTGGAAAAATCTAGCTTGGTAATGTGGCTCCTTTGAGAGATAGCATGTTCTTTATCCTGAATTGATGATTGAAGCGAAGATATGATTTTTCAATGGCAAAATGACTTCACCTCACTCTAATTTATTTAGTGGAGGAAAATTAGAAATGACATGTAATGTATGTACAGTATCTTAACAAACATCATAGAAAAAAACTGGATAACCATGGCAAAAAGCCTGTGTTATGAGCTTGTGTCAAATCAGGGGACCCCATGAGTTAAACCCAGGCACCTCTTTGCACTTCCAGATTATAAGTCTGTTGACAAGCACTGGATACAAACACAGGGATCCTCCTGCTTGCACTAGGGTCACAGGGCCTTGCTGTTGGTGCCATCTGGCCATTCACCGCAAGTCTCAAATGTGGGAACCCCCTGTCCTTACTAACCAGTACAAAAAACCCAACCTGGACAACTTCTGCCCCATCTCAAATTCCCCCCTCGTATCAAAAATCCTATAACGTGCCATCGTCAACAAGTCCAACAATACCGCCACACCTTCACCCTCTTTGAAATATTCCAATGTGGTCTGAGGACAGCACTGAGACTGAGACAGCACTCCTAGAAGTATCCAACGACCTCCTCCTTGCAGCTGACTGATTCTCTGTCCATCCTTGCAGCATTTGACATCATCAACCATTCCATCCTCCTCCATCGTCTAGAATCCATCGGAAACAGCAGAGCATTGTATGAAAGTAACTGATCTGTGGTTAAACAGATTCACAGTAATACTAAACAGGTCTTTAGCATATTTCTGAATCACACTTCTGTTTTTTTTATTAATTATTTTATTTCATGAGGTCATCAAATTTCATGGTGTTGGATTTTAAGAATAGTATATTTGTGTAGTCCCTATAACCAACATTATGAACAATTCTAATGATCTTCTTTCAGAGTCTACGGTCTATAAAACCTGTAAATGACTACTGAAGGTACAGTATTTCCCCATACCTCTGAGCAATACTTTATGTACGGTAGGATTAAGGAACACTACAGGTTGAAGAGAGCCTTTTGGTCCAGAAAGAATAAACATTTGCCCAATATGGCGGCACATTTGACCATTTTCCCTCAAATACTATTTATTTGTGGTCTCCAGCTAACCTTATGACTTAAGATCACACCCAGAAATGTATATTCCTTGACTTGTTCAATTCAAGCATCGTGAATATTGATCTGAATTTGAATATCACTATTTCTCTATATCAACAGATTCTGGACAACAATGTCCAGGAATCAGTGAAAACGTTGAAGCTGCGCCAGGGATGATTCTTTCTAAAAGACAACGCCCCTAAACACTGTTCAAAATCTACTGAGGCGTTCAGAGGAACAAGTACAAGGTTCTGGAATGACCATCTTAGTTCCCAGACCTGAATATTATTAAAGATTGGTGATGTGATTTAAAGAATCCAGACTCATTTAGAGGATTTTATTTTTGCAAAAGGAGGATATAAAGATATGTATTAGTTTTCCTTTTGTGGTGCCTAAATGTATGCACCTTCCTAATTTGGTTTCAGTAATTCTTGCACACCGCAAATATGCCTGTTTGTCTCTTATATGATATATTTAACTGACATTTCTTATCCAAACAACCAATGGTTTATCAAGGGAAATCATAAAAATTGAAGGGGGTGCCGAAACTTGTTCATGCCACTGTATACAAATGAGTAAAACTGTCATAAGATACAAAATATAAATTTTCAATACAAGTCAAAATATAAATTTTCAATACAAGTCAAAATATATAGAAGAGATATATATCTCTACTTGGAATATGTGGAATATGCATATATTCACCGGACAATGAGACACCGGTGTGCTATAAACAGCACAGATGTCATGACTATGAACATGAAGTGTGTTGCAACCGTTGCATCATGGTAGTTTGTCATTCCGGATAGAGGTTGTGCTCACTGATCCTTTGTTTTTCCAAAACAACCAAGAACACAAGAACACTTTTCTGTTTTTTTTTTTTCACCAATGTTTGGGTGTAGCATTGAGTACAGCAGCCACAGCAGAAGTTGCCATTAGGCACGGTGGCTGAGTGGATAGCACTCTCGCCTCTCAGCAAGAAGGTCCTGGGTTCGCATCCCAGTCGGACCAGGGCCTTTCTGAGTGGAGTTTGCATGTTCTCCCCGTGTCTGCGTAGGTTTCCTCCGGTTTCCCCTACCACTAAAAATATGTCCAAAAGTTCTAGCATGTGCCTTCTGTACTGGCGACCCCATCTCTGTGTGGAGTGAGAGACAAATGCCCAAAATTAACAATTGTAAACCGCTTTGAGACTCAGATCTGCAGTGAAAAGGCGGTATATAAATAAAAAGATTACTTACTTTTGAGGGTTCCTTTGGTTTACTTGTACAGGTGGCCCGCACCAGACGATCGATTAGATGTTGTCCCCTTTTATTTATAAAGGGGGTCGTTTAAAAGGCTAGAAATGTAAGTGTGCTTTAGAGATATTGATTTGATGCCCCACCCTACTTAAAATGACTTCCAGGTGCTCATTTCATGTTTTCGAGGAACTTTGGGCTGTACAGACCTCTCCTCCATCGCACCCAATCTGAAGTCATTGGCGTTCGAATTTCCTTCTCAAAAAGCACAATTCACTCAAAAACAAAGTTATATTACGAAAGCACAATTTTAATGAATTGATAAACATCATTCAAGCGTCACAGACACTTTTATTGCGTGGTTAAGTCAAATAATGACACAATTGAGTGTTTTTATGCCTTGGGCTTCATGTTCACCTTTTACAGTGGTCAAACAATGATAAACTAAAGAGTATGTTATTAGGAGAAACTTACATTCAACTTTTTTCAGTATGACGTGGTTTAATTCATATTCTGCACTTGCCTGTTTGACCAACCAGCATGCACTGCCACAGTGGGACTTGACTTTGACTCCATCTAGAGGAGAGACTAATAAATAAAAAAACACTTTGATCAATGCCATTTCAGCTATTAGTCAAAGTGGATGATCTGGGGATCCATTTCTGCTTGGTCACATGTTTGTGCATGTAATTGAGTTGGCGGAGGAAACATGCAAACTCTGTACAAAAAATCATGGGGTGAAAAAAATGGGAGGAAAATGCATCACACTAACCATCCACCATACACACCTGATGTCAGCATAAAAATATATTTATTGCAAAAGCAGTTTCCCAGTCCATTGTTTAAACAAAAATGCAAATGCACAACCAAAGAGATAACTCTTGAAATGATCGGTCCATTCAGTCTTTTATGTGGATTTTAGAGATGGCAGCGAGACCAGCTGTATCCTTGATTTTGTCTATATCAGCGTCACTATGTTCACCATCTTCAAAGTCATCAACCTCTTCTTCACTGTTCAGCTCGTCATCCTTCTGACAACCTCTCTTTTTCTTCTGACATACGCCTTCTTCCTCTTCTTTAACATCCAGATGGGAATTCACGCTGCATATAAGCCAAGGAAAATTATTTGCTTCAAATCTTATTGAAAAATATAATTAGGGTTGTAAAATACTTAATTTCTATGGAATAGATGGCAATAAACAGAACTAGCTTTTAAAACATAAAATTGGGTGGAAATCTTATGTTAAGATGTAATCTATTGAGTATTACCTAGTCCACATAGTATTTAGTATTACAAAGTATGAATTTTCACTTAACATTCCTTTTTAGATGCAATGTCATAACAAATAAAGAAATACTCCAGTGTTCCAGTGAACGAAAAGGACTGATGCTAAACCGTGGAGCCATATAAACATTTTTACAAAGGCAAATTTATACTGGAAGGAGCAGCACAAGGCTGTGGAGAGTAGGGGTGTGACCAGAGGGATAAAAGTAAATAGAGATATTTAAGCCGCTAAAATAATCCAAAGGAAAGGGGATTTTGTCATGAAAAGAAATAATTTATAAAAATCAATATTTGGACGATATATAATGGTCTTCATGTATGTATGTGTGTTTATGGTGGGGTAATTAAAATAGATACATCAACTACAAAATCCTGCTCCTCACATTCAAAGCAATCCACAAGCTCGCTCCTCCATACCTGACTGACCTCCTCCATGTCTCCACACCTGCCCGCTCTCTCCGCTCCTCCTCCTCTCTCCGGCTCACTGCTCCCCCTCCCGCCCATCTCGTCACCATGGGGAGTAGAGCCTTCAGTCGCTCTGCTCCCCAGCTCTGGAACACTCTCCCTCCTGACCTCCGTAACACCGACTCACTCCCACACTTCAAATCCATCCTCAAAACTCATCTGTTTAGACAAGCCTACTCACTGTGACCACAACTGTATGTTTTATTCATGCTGTTTTAACATTGTATTTTAACTGTTTTTAATTGTTGATGTTAATTTACTTGTTGTTGTGAGGCGACCTTGAGTGTCTTGAAAGGCGCCTAAGAAATAAAATGCATTATTATTATTTATCATTATAACTGTATGCAGCCTGTAGGCTACTTGTAGCGAACATGTTACTGTAGTGTTACAAGTCACTTTAAGTTTGCATCACAAGATTTACTTGGATGGATTATTTAACATGCTCATTCTGAGGATAATGATGCTGTGCTTCGGCTGTTCCATCATCAGGAGTGAGCTCACTTAAGTAGACAGGAGAACGTATGAGTTCTCGTGAGAACCGCCGGGGCATCGCAGAAAGATCTAGGAGGCAGGATCTTCAGGTGAGTGATCTCAGAACGACAGGTCCTGACAATATTATTGTATTTACAATCTAGGCCTATAGGACTTTGCACTGACATGCCATAAAGGGTTACTGCTGTTGCATTTGAGGGCGCAATATATTATGTCAAACATTGATGTGTTACAAACAGCTCGTGTTTACCCACATCACGTTTGGCCTGTGGAGCAGACAATTAACATTTGCAAATGTATGAAGCAGCTGACAATATGCGTTTTTGTATTAACTGAATAAATGTAATAGCCATCTACTATCATATTCATATAGTTTTGTTGTCTCTACTGGTTTGGATAAAACAAAACACACCCAATACTCATTTAATAATATAGGCATGACAATTATTGTCCTTATAGAAAAGTGAAACAGTTTGGTATCTAAATTACCGCAATATTTGGTTGCGTTTACGCTTAAGACTGCTCGGAAAAAAAGGTTGAAAAAAGAGCCGAGAAAAAGTCAGAGGGAATGGAAAGCCTGACCTGGACATAGACTTTGCCTATTATAATAGATATGTACTTTCTCACTCTGTTTTAAGTACACATGAGCTTCTTAAATGAGACCCGTCTTGATGAACTGACTTCAGAGCTTGAGGAGAGAAAAACCTGGAAAGGCCACTAAGAATAATTACAGATAGATTTATTGTTCTAATGGATGGACCCAAACATTTTTGGGCACAAGCTAATTTTATGAACAGCTTTTTTTGCATAATAGGATTGTTATTATTGCCAATTATTGCTTAATTCAGGTGTTTATTTGCTTTATGGTGCTTTCAGACCGGATCATACGTTGCGTCGGGTTTCAATGCAAAGTCTATGGTGGCGCGCATTCGACCGTCACAACGCACGGACCTCTCGGTTCGCACGAACGGACTGTTCAATAATGACGCACGGACTTGGCGGGAAAGTGAACAGGGAGCAGCAGGAGCGAAAAATCAACGCCCACAGGAGATGGATTCTGCTCATCCTTTCCTTGCGACGTTCGTGCGACAACCAATCAAAGAGCAGCAAAGTGGTCACGGGGACATTAGCGGACTGAGCGAGCAGACTGAAAATACTCATAAACAGCCAAAACAGGACCCACACCAGGCTTCACCAGAACTCAAACCAGGGTTGACAATGGGGGACTCTGTGCTTGTGAAAATATGCGTTGTCATGCTCCCGTGACCTTATGCAACTGCTTCGAGTGTGTTCGCTGATGCGGAAATACCGTTTAATACTATGAATAAACGTATGGCGCACCTCCGTGAACACATACTACTGTTATATAAAGCCTGTGGAATGTCTGTGAGCAAAGACACGCTGCAAAGCTGCATATTGGAGAAGATCTGTACACAAGAAGCCGCTAGCATAGCTCTGTTAGCATCAGAGCCGGCCGGCTACTTCCGGTACTTCCGGCTCGCGTCAGGACGTTCTGGTGAGCGGGGCTTCCGCGTTTCAGCGTTGGCTGAAAGCCCCATTAAACGTATGCATTAAAAAAAAAACTGATATTTTATGGCCGTATAGTAATTGCATCAATGGAATATTATTTATACAATATGCTTTAATATTGCTTTTCACTGATTACATCTCTGTATCAATACATTGCCGATTACCATTTGTCATCAAGCCTGTTGTTAAGGTAACTGAAAATACATAAGAATTTCCCTCTGGGACAGGTCCAAGTAGACATCAGTCCTAGGTGCCACTCACATACTCAAATACTTACGGAATTACAATTTCTTCTTTCTTGCCACATTTACAGCAGATCTCTAGCTGAAGGGAGCAGGGTTTGCAGACGACATAATAAGCATCCTTTATATTCTTCTGAGAACATTTAACACTGTAAACAATTAAAAACGTACATGAATTTTCTCATACATTATATTAATCAACAGTTCCTTGAAGTTGTAGTACCAAAGTTTGTTCGTTGTTTTCTTAAATAATACATTTACATTTGCAGAAGTAAAAGCAGTTTTTGGAAGCAATCAAACAGGCTTCATATCTACATTAAAATATCTCAAATATGTATATACATAACTCGTCATTTGTGGTTTGTCCCAACAGTAAGAGACTTGTAATTTCAGACCACAACATACAGTCTTCATCGTACTAGGTCAAATGTTATCTTTTGACAACACGTGAGGAGAAACTATTTGACGCTTTGGACTTTTACTTTTTTGACAAAACTGATCTAAATATTTGACCAAATTCAAAAATTCATTAAAGGTGACACTACTCTGATAAATCCAAATTGTCATGTTAGTGAACTTGTTAGATTGATTTTAGATAAAAAAAAAATATGGCTTGATGGTTGGGTACTCCAGATTTAAGTAAAGCAAAATCTCACTCACCATTTGCGAGGCTGTGTAAGAGTTTTGTATTTGTTGTATTTGACTTTCCATTCGAGCACGTCTTTACAATGCTGGCAAAGACCGTCATGAACCTTTGACTTCGCCTTCTGCAATCAAAAACATATCAACTGGGGACAAGCTAAGTGTGCTACTGTAGCATGCTTCAAGAAGAATGACTCTAATACCTGGACTTGTACTGTAGCTCCGTACTTGTCATTTTTGAAAGCAACTGTATTATGATGTTTTTGACAACGCGAACGCGAAACATTTCCTTTTTGAGAACTCATGGCGAGTGTTATTATAATCCTACTCGCAGCGGCACATGTGTTGGTCGGTCTTGTGACATATAACCCGGAAGTGGTAAAATTAAGTTTTTTGTTTTTTTGTTTTTGTTTTTAATTATTTCCAGCCCTATACCATAGCGTAAATTCGAATCTGCACAAATTAGACGACATATAAAATAAGAAATCCTGCGAGCACATTATGATCTGCTGTGTACCCTATTTCATCTGTTTCTTTCATTTTATTTAATGAGATCTATTTTTTGCTTGGAGTTAGTTCCACTTCCCTCAATGGCTTCCATACAATGCTCTTATGCAAGCCTTTTTATGACTATGCAGCAGAATAGCCTTTATGTTATTTTCAATGTTACTGTACCGTATTACTTACTTTAGACTCCTACATCGAATGGGATCGGGATGTCCTTGTTTAAACGTATGTATGTAAAAATATACATTTATACGTTATGTATTATCTTTAATATAAATATACCAATTGCTTGATTTAAGAAATTCGCACACATACATGATCTGAATTCGACCAAGGCTATGATTTTGACTAGAGAAGAAAAAATAGATTTCTATTGGTCCACCATACTGCCAATCAGAGCATGACGCCCCGCCTGCGCCCGGATAACAACCTGCCTGTGTTCAACGAAAGCGGAGTTGTGTTGTGTCAAAACGACAGCGTATCGTGACCAACGTGACGGATCCATTTTGGTGAAGGAAGATCCTTTGATTTAATTGTTGTCATTTAATAGTTTTTATTTATTTTCACAAGTATTGAAGGAATACATTTAAATTGGTATTCATGACCGCGTATTTAGTGGAAGAGGATAATAGACGACACCTCCGCAGTGCCTGGTTTGAGGAGATAAAGTCAAATTTAACAAGGAACACTGGATAATCTGGTCGAGGATAACCTTGTGAACCTCATTGCGTGGTGGAGAAGACGGATTGAGTTGTTCCTCGCAGCGACATCCATCCAATCTGCCTGTCACGAAGAAAATCAAATCAGAAGCAAGCCAAGCCAAGAGCAGAGAATCAGGTAATGACTTCTACTTGATGTTTCACGCTAATAATTTGTTCATATTGTGTTGGTTCACCTTTATGACTATCCTATCCTTAGCTGTTTGCCCCCCTCCCCTCCGATAATTGAGTGCAGCCACAAGCCATCTACCACCACCATGACAGTCTTCTGTGATTCCTGTTTATTATATTACTTGAACAGTTTAAGCTAATAGTGCGGATATGTAACAACTATTCACACAGCGAGGATGACCTCATGTTTAAAAAGCCAGTAATCCACAACCACTCGTTCACAATTTATCTGCAAATTAATGAAACATTCTCAATAATTATGAGTTGGGCTATTTTTGGCCATATATCTACTGTTACTGGGTTGTAGGCTATATTTTGATATTTTTAACATTTTTCTGTAAACATTTTTTTCTTGTCAGTTTTTTAGGATGAACAACCTATCCATCAGCGAGATTTGTTGCCTTTTCTGCTGTCCACCATGTCCCAGCAAGATCGCCTCAAAGCTGGCCTTCCTGCCCCCTGAGCCCACCTACAGCCTTATGTGCGATGACAGTGGCAGCCGGTGGACACTGCACCTCTCTGAGCGTGCTGACTGGCAGTACTCTGCCCGGGAAAGGGATGCCATAGAGTGCTTCATGACCCGAACCTCAAGAGGGAATCGAATTGCCTGTATGTTTGTACGATGTGCACCCAGTGCACGTTACACCCTACTGTTTTCTCATGGTAATGCTGTGGACTTGGGCCAAATGAGCAGCTTCTACATTGGGTTGGGGTCTCGCATCAACTGCAATGTGTTTTCCTATGACTACTCGGGTTACGGAGCCAGTTCTGGGAAACCTTCTGAGAAAAACCTATATGCTGATGTCGATGCTGCCTGGCAAGCTCTGCGATCAAGGTGAGTACACCTGCAGACAATTGCATGTACATTTTTAAAACAAAATTATCCAGAAAATACAAAAAAATGCATACTTCAAGCTGCATAAAGACACTCTTCTTCTTTACTCTGATGATTTGGGAGAATGTCTTGTGCTGTGTGACCTACAAATTAAGCTGTCAGCTGTGTAACCACGTGAAATCGGCTCCCCAGTCCACATCATTTTCTGGACCTTAGGAGCTCCTTGAGAGAGATGTATGATATTTCAACACTGCATCTGTTCAAGGATTTTTGGCACTTCTGTGGATAATGAACTGGGAAACTTTACAAAGTATAATACTCATTTGCATTGCCATGTTTAAACTATATCATTGAGTGAGTTGGTCTGTATTATGACATTATAGAACGTATAAAGAGGCTACAGTTGATATACTGTAAGATATATTCTATTCTGGTGGTAACTTTCCATCCCAGCAAAACAAATCCCAAAAGTATTGGGGAAGCATTGTATGTCAACAAGGTAAACTGAAAACACAACACATAAATGCATCGGTTTTATACAGCGGTTTTTTTGGGCTTGAACCCATGACCTTCTGGCTCAAAGGCCAATGCTCTACCAACTGAGCTAATGTCGCCCTGACACCCTCCAGTGTGGGTCAAAATAATATCATGTGTGTCATTAATACTATACATTGTTAAACATAAATTGTTATGGATTGGCTTTCAATATTTAATAATACGGATGAGTATTTTTGTTATTATTAATGGGATAATACATGGAATCAGTGCACTGTATCTCATGCAGACTCAGTGACAGTAAATTTCATCCAAAACCTCAATTGAGCTCATTGTAATTGACTCAAGTGATATTCAGGAGTGATGAATGGACTGTTTGCTTCAACATTTCCGGCATTGTCACAAGACTTACAAAAGAAAGGGTTCTTTTCAGCTTCGCAAGAAACACTTCAAGCTACCAGGAAATGACTTGAATATCAAGAAGAGCCACTTGTGTATACACTTTCTCTTTGTACGATATGGTCTTGTGTTTTTACAGTCTTTGAACATACAAGTACTTTTGTTGTTGTTTACGACAAATATAGGGGTCCAGTAGATGTCTTTGCAAAGCTGTTTTATGTGGCTGACTAAAACAAAAAACAAGCTACTTCAGGCAATGGTGTAAACTTATCCCAGCAATCAATTAAAACATTGCATAACATGCTACTGCATTGCTTTTTATTTGTACTCTCTTTATATTACAGTAGTGCATGACCGTACGAACCGGATGAGGCACTCCCTCACCTCCCTCCTTACCTGCACGCGCAGGGAGTGTTTTATGCAAGTGATTCACGGGTCATGAGTCAGCGAGCCTAATCCACAATATCACAAAAGCTGAACCTCTCGACTGTCTCTCATTATGGCTATTGCATGCTGTAGTGTAAACCGTAATGTATATTGGCCCACCTGTGAACATGCAATATGAGCTCTTTATTCTGCTGTCAACCTAAGAGTCTTCTGCTGCTGGACACCTGAATTTCTCCTACGCGGTATCAATAAAGTATCTATCTAACCTGCCAACGATCAAAGCTGGATGCTATATATTGAATTTTATCATAGCTCCAAGCTTTTTAAACCAGGCGTTTCCACACATCAAATAGATGCGCAACTTCCTTGTTAAACTTTGAAAGACATTCTGCAAAATCGTCTTGTTAGCAAAGGTATTCCTGACCAAGTTGAGCATTATTATCTGGATTTGGATCCCAATGTGCAGCATTGTATGGACCACTTCTCCTGACAGACTGTAGTGGCATTGAAGGATTAGTCAAATTCAGAAGACAAATATGGTGGAATACCATAAACAAAACTGTGTAATGCTGTATCGGTACGGTCCGTGTCTTTCTGTGTGGACTTTGCATGCTTCTCTCAATTTTTGGATTAGTTTATCCTCAGACACTCCGGGTTTCCTCATCATTCACACAGATGGTGAGTGGCACATTAGTACCCTAGGATGGAGTGAATGATACTTACTTCATATAATTAGTTAGTGCACTTCCCACTGAAGGTGGTGCAAGCAAATCTGTTGCAAATTGTGTGCGCAGAATATTTTTAGGATATCCGATAATTTGGATTTTTCCAATCCCAAAATATTATTTCCATCTAGAACTTGAGGTGGTCGATGAAGAGGAGGCAATGTGAGCTGGAACACGGGAGGGAAAGAGGAAGTGATGCATAATACATGTGATGCTTTGTGTTAGGAGGCTAAATTAATGGACATTTGGGGGAGGGCTGTAACCATGGAGCATCTCCAGAGCCAGGCTTGGTGGGTCAGGCTGAAGTGTGATGGAGGAAACTGTAGTGATTGTTGTTTGGGCGGGGGTTGGTCAACGTTTACCATTGGGTGTGTTTGATCGTGTTTACCGTTCAAATGTGATACTGATTACTATGCAGATTAATACAGTACATTTTCACAATAATGTTTTATAGATTTAATGTAATATTGTAAAAAAAAAATTACTTTAAAACTATACCGGTAATTTTATTCATTCATCTTGTCAGCTTTAATCCAGTGCTGGATTGCACAGGCGCTGATCATTTCTGTAGGTTTAAAATCTAATTTACAATGACGAGTCAGCTGAGCTCTTAAATGTCAACACAGGCTTGCCTCTTACTAGAAGCAGTTGTGAAATTCTGTAATTTTCTTCGGTTGCATACTTGTTATGCCATTGGCCCTTTTTTTGATAGCATGAAGGGAAGAAGAAAAACCTGATACGCTAGAGGATAATTATGAGATTTAATGTTATCAGTAAAAACATTTTTTAACTTGTTTACTCAGCTGTAATGGAACAGGCAAATACATTTAATGTGCACTTCCTCAAGCCACAACAAGCAGTATTGTTGTTGCCACAATTCACAATGTAAATGTCAGCTCTTGAGTCATGAGAACTCCAGTTAAACCAGGACACGTACTTGATTGGAACAATATCTGAACTCTTCTTTATTCATTCGAGCAGAAATTGTACAATCAGTATAAAAGTATTTACAATATTTACATTCCTTAGTTTGCATGATTCTTTATGCATGTTGCCTGCTGTGCGTACAGTACATACTTATACATGGAAATATATGAACAGAACTATACAATCAAGCAACAATAGTTGCCCTAGTTTCAACATGTGTTATACATCTACAATATCAATATGTATTTACAAATGAACCTCTATTTACAATTTGTCAGCTCGAAATGGAGTGGGAAGGAAGTAACTCTGAACATTGTAAAGCGCTTTGGATGACCTTGGTCTGTAAAATGCGCTATGTAAATAAACATTACTTACTTACTTGTAGCATACAGCTGACTGATGGTCTTTCACGTTTATTTCAGCCTTATTAGTATATTCTTTAAAAACAATGCTTAATATATTCTATTATATACAGACCAAAAGTTTGGACACACTTTCTCATTCAATGAGTTTCCTTTCTTTTCATGACTATTGACTGTAGATTCACACCAGGCTGTGTAAGGACTATTTGACCAATAAGGAGAGTGATGCATGCTGGGCCAGATGACCTGGCCTCCACAGTCACCGGACCTGAACCCAGTCCAGATGGTTTTGGGGTGAGCTGGACCACAGAGTGAAGGTGAAGGGGCCAACAAGTGCTAAGCATCTCTGGAACTCCTTCAAGACTGTTGGAAGACCATTTTATTTCTCTTGAAGCTCATCAAGAGAATGCCAAGAGTCTGTGAAGCAGTAATCAGAGCAAAAGGTGCTACTTTGAAGAACCCAGAATATAAGACATATTTTCAGTTGTTTCATACTTAGCTTTTTTTTTTTTTTTTTTATGTACATAATTCCGCATGAGTTAATTCATAGTTTTGATGCCTTCAGTGTGAATCTGCAATTTTCATAATCATGAAAATAAAAAAACTATTTGAATGAGAAGGTGTGTCCAAACTTTTGGTCAGTACTGTATGTAAAATGAGCTGTGGCTCACACAACTGGTTAACTTTAGTGGTCAGCTGACTGCTCTCCAGAGTGGGTCACACATTCTCTATAATCCGTGGTGGAATGTCCTCTACCCTTTTTCTCTTCATACTATACTATTTTTCTTATGTCTTTGGAGAACTGAACTAAACCAAGAAAACAAAGGAGACACTGTGCATAAGCCCAGTGATAAACAATTTAGTGATAGCACTGTAAAGTCTGTCCTAATAGTGAGCCGGAAGTGGAATCATAAAATGAAGGAAACTAATGTATGTGGGCATTGTAACAAATTCATTTTATCTACTAAAACCACATCTCTAGGTCCCCAAATAATGCACCTTTTTACTATTAGTTTTAACAATAGATTGCAGAGATGGACGATGTACTTTCATAATGGGCCTTTTCACCAGATTCCACCTTTTTTTTAAATTATTATTATTACATCATATGCGTTCCAATATATTTTCATGTTGACATTTCTATTAATATTTGTTTCTCTTTGTGTTACAGGTATGGCATTCGTCCTGAGAATGTGATTGTGTATGGCCAGAGCATTGGCACTGTTCCATCAGTTGACCTGGCTTCTCGCTATGAAAGTGCTGCAGTCATCCTCCACTCTCCTCTGACCTCAGGAATGAGGGTGGCCTTCCCTGACACAAAGAAAACCTACTGCTTTGACGCCTTTCCCAAGTAAGGGAACACAACACTGCACAAATGTAAAAGCAATAAGAGCTATAGAAAAAATGCCAAACTAATTTATTATTGTTACTGCATAAGCTACAAATGGTACTTTTTACGATTGATTTGATATTTTACAACTACACAACTTGCTTGTTCTCACTGGAGGTCAAACAGGCTCCTCCTTAGTTACGTCAAAAATCTCAACACTTTTGTCTGACTACTATCTTTCTCTCTCTTTTCAAAGCATTGATAAGATTGCAAAGGTCACATCGCCGGTCCTGTTGATCCATGGCACTGAGGATGAGATCATAGACTTCTCCCATGGGCTGGCCCTGTATGAGCGCTGCCAGCGTCCTGCAGAGCCCTTATGGGTGGAGGGAGCTGGACACAATGATGTGGAGCTCTATGGGCAGTATCTTGAGAGACTTAAAAAGTTTGTTTCACATGAACTTGTCAACTTGTAAATTCCCTGAGTGCATTCGAGATGAAGGAGCACTGGTGTTTATAAAACTTGAAGGACTTTTAACTGTTTGTTAAAATAGTTTTTGGTGGTAGGCATTCATATCAAATCAAGGACATATTTTTAAGCTCTTGTTCTCAGTATATTGACTCATCCATCTCCAGTAAGCTGGAAACTCAAATTCCAACCTTTTAATTACACATAAAGGCAGTTTCAGTGTGAGTAAGGTGATGAAAGCTGATGAAAGTTGACAAAGCTATTGTTCAAATCATATAGTTGTTCGCAAAAGGAGAGGGTGGGTACATTTCTGCCTTTTTGAAAAGATCTGGCCCATGTTTCTGGTCAAGGTCATCAAACGAGAGTCTGATGTTTTTAATAACTTTTGTTGCTGTGTTTTGTTTTTTGTTTTTGCAAATGTGAACTAGACAAACAACTTCTGACATTTCGGTCATGCACATTGTTGTTTATATTTTCCTTAATTAATATACCTAAAAGCTTTTTGACTAATCTTTGCACATTACAGCTGTCAAAACAAACAATGTTATTTACTATATGCCAGTGATGCCAAATGTTTGATACCCCTGATACATGCAAGTAATTAATTTCACACAACTTGTTTCAACCAATCCAATACGAGTAGTCTTCTCAACCTACACGAGTACATTTGACATGTAGTTGTGTGCACGTGTGTGAAGGTTACTGTATATTTATCGTAAAACTGCTAAGTCAAACAAAATTGTTGCCGGGGAGAGAGAGATTTTTGACAATTACAGTACCTCACTTTGAAAGTATTGCCTTGACAAATGAACCAGAGAATTTTCCTGAGACTAAACTAAAGAAAATCAGACCAGTTTATGGCGAGTATAGTGTGAACTTACTTACATTTTCTACGGCTGAAGTTCAAGGTGATTTGGTAAATAACATCAGCTGACATGTTATTGTTGTGTGTATGTGTGTGTGAGAGGAGATGATTAGTCTAAGTGCCACAACACCTCTTATGTCATGTTTTATATGTTAACTCTGACTGTTTCTGTCCCTTTACCCAGAACCAGGTTTGAGACCAGCAGCATTTAGTGCTTACAATTCCATTGACACACTTATTGGTCGCGGACTTGTGCTTGTGTACGTTACAATGAGCTGATTTTGATTCTTTTTGAAATGATGTATGAAGATGTTCACAGTAGGCATCTTTGAGACCTCTTGATACTTGAGCGTGGAGTTGTTTACATATTAAATCACAATAATATAAATCACTGTAGTTAATGGTGCTATTATACACCTTCAGGTCTGATTTAATACAGCTTACTAAAGACTTACCACGTCTCGTTTCTGTGTCTTTGTCCTGTTTTTTTCTTAATATGCCTGTTTGCTGTATGACTTTTTTTTTTTTTTTTTTCAATTGACTACTTTTTCAATCAGGGCAAGTCACCATTAAAGCTTTTTACTTGTATCGTCTTTCATTTATATGTGTATGTATGAACTATATTTAAATGGTATAAAACATGTATAACATTTACTAACATGTTGGTACTTTTAACATCAATAGAGGATAATAAAAATTAAAGACCTTTTTTTGTGTCTCGGTGTCTCTTCTTTTTGTACAAAAAATTTGCAAAACATGTACATTTTGTCTGCAAAAAATGTGCCACACAAAATCTTCAACAAATTAATTGAATAAAGAAAATGTTGCTTTAAGGTCAATTAGGGTTCTGCTCTATAGATACATTTTCCCCAGCTTTATAAATTCTTGCTTATTCTTCTTGGGTCACTGGAGTTATGATTTTTTTTATATTTGAAACCTCATACATGGCACAACATAAACTAAATCTTGTAAGATGTATTGTTTGACTTTATTATGTTGAAATTACATAGTGCGAATAGTGTGTGTGGAAAAAACATTGTGCTATAATTATGTACTAGTTACATTATTTTAAATATTGCTATGTGACTGATAAAATGTGTGTGTGAGTTTAAACTATTTTCTTACTTACCAATTTTATGATCAAACAGGTTTTGTCTTCCATTATTTTTGTGAAGATAAGGGTTAAATACGTATATAATTCAGATATTAAAACGGCTTGTATAGGATATGTTACAGAATGCATTGTCAATCCGTTATATTTATCTTCTCAAACAATATAGCTCTGTTACCAGCAGGTGGCAGTGTCGTCCAAGCTTCAGTTTAGCCCCTCCTTTCTGTCCATGCTTCGTATGATACATTCAAGGCTCCGACATTTTCCTATCCAAACAAATAGGCGCGTATCCTTTCTGCTATTAGATACTTTAAAATGCGTATATATCGCAGTCAAAGGAAAGAAATATATAATTATTTTGTTGCAGTGCTCCTATCTAAAGTAAAAAAGGGCGTACATACGTCTTGTTGTCGCTTTTAAATGTTAGTTCGGAAATTTCAGGCTGACACTGAACGCGGTTTTCTCGGTCCGCTGAAGCCTCGCCCCTCAGTTCCTCATCTGGGGCCGAACTACACGACAGAAAAAAACACCATGTGAAGAGCAAAAACTGAATCCAGGAGATCCCAAGAGATTGAATGTAAGAGTGGACAGACTGCTCGCCTCGGGGACCGGAGGACACTGACAGAAAGTGGATGGGCATCACAGTAGGAGCAGCGCGGTGTGACCAGTGGTGCCTCCCGGGGTTGAGCGCATTGTGTGTGGGTGATGCTGTTCGCGTTAACTCACATTGGGTCTGCCACCAGTGAAGTTTGGATTTAGGAATTATTACAACAACAAAAGGTAATGCATGCTATTTTCATGTCATGTTTCATTGAATGCATTTACATATGATAAGGTTACGTCTCGCATGCGTTGATGGTTGTGGCACTTTCTGTATTTAGCCAATTTGCCTAATGGTAGTCATGAGAAAAATTGAGTTTTACTGCCAGTAACGAACTGATGATTCTAGTTATATATGTTCAATGGTAAATTAGAGAAGTTGCATTTATTCATACATTCTTAAACTTTTGTTGTGTTCATCAGCTGGCTTACTTCCTGTGAAAATTGGTTTATTAGTCCCAATTGATTATTATTTTGATTACTAATCTTCTCCCGGCAAATGATAATTTTGTACAGTTAAACACATTTTTAAGATAGATTTTTAGATGCCTCTGCATTATAAGGAAGTACCACTACAACAGCTGTTATTACAATGTAGATTTTCAGTCAAAGAAAGTCAGACTTTTGGTTTCAGCACATCTGCTTGATATTCAGTTTAATATTCAGGGAAATTGTCATAGTGGCCTACAGGTCTGGAGTAACCCAATGATTGTGGTCATTTCCAGATGTTGAATAGCCCCAGGTGTGTAGGTCCAATGCACTGACAGCTAGTAGCAGGAAAGCATGAGCTCCATTTTTGGCCAAGAATGTGAATAAAACCAAACCAGTGGTAGGACTAGGGCAGGAAAGCAAAGGGGTCAAATGTGTCAAAATAAACTGTACATAACAGTCTCAAGGAAAGTTACTAATTAGACCCCTTGTCTTATTTATTTATTTAATCTTTAATTCAGACACACAATTTATCCATATAAAACAAACACACAAATATTCAATGTTTACAAACTTCTATAAAGACAGTTTCTCTAATGCCTCCAGCGTTCAGAAGTGTGTCTTAGATAATGCATCTTTGTTTTGCATTCATTACGTCGAATGCTTTGTGCTTTAGGTTGTAAGGACCTTCTGTAGAGTCATGAGTGAGACAATGCTGAGTTTGTGGCATTGTGTGAGATTCTTACATAATATATAATTGGCTATTTACCAGGCACCTTTCAAACAGATTTATGTTGTGTGGCACATGCTGATTTAAAAGTGCTTTCACAGCTCTTTTTCTGCTGTGTCATTTCCTTCAGTTTGATGTGCAAGTGTTCCCAAACATGACCTTTGTCTGTGTCCACTTTTGTACATTCCTCTCTGGTAAAAATATCAAACATTGGCGCTCTTCTTTTACATCCAGTTGTTATTTCTACCACCTGTTTTAGCTTTGTTTACAAAGTTGGATGTACTAAGTGACTAGGAACGTGCTGCACAGTTGCTATGAAGAGCAGCCAGCAGAAAGTGTCACTCTTGCCATTAATTGAAAACAGGATAACTGACTGGTTTAGAAGGAAGTCAATTATCAGTGTGCTTATAGAAGCTTATAGGATTGTAGTGTAAATTGAACAAATGTGGGGTTTTAGGTTTCCCTGAGTCAGCCTTTTTACCTTTTTTATCCCCCACTGTTTCACTCTGTTTAACAATCTTCTTTAGTGCATTCTTCCTGTGTTAAATGTCCTTTTAATCTTTGCTTGTTCATTTACTTACCCCATCTCTTTATAGGTGGTAGACACATAGACAATGCAGACAAGTGATGGCCAAGGCAGATACCCTGTTTTTGTGGCCCCACGCCCTGGAACCCATCCAAGATCGCCTGGATACGTGCCCGGGCGGGTGGCCCCAGTCCGGTCACCACCACCCGCTAAGGCACCCCCACCTCCCCCAGTTAAACCCCACGGCCCACCACCACAGAGACCGGTCTCACGCAGCCAGACTGAGGACAGTAATCAGGTGGAGCGTGCCCAGAGACTGCAGAGACGAAAGAACACTCTCATATGTTTTGGGTCCTCCATGTGCACTTTTCTCATAACACTTATTCTCCTCTTTTGCCTTTCCAAGCATGATGTCCTGGATGGTAAGTATTGCATAGTATAGAATAAATAATCCTGACTTCGGTCAAGTTAAAGACAGTTGGGTTCAAACAATATTAAACTGAAAATGTTGAGAGCTTAGAAATGTTATAAGTGTCTGGCTTCAATCAGTCTTTTCAATCTAAACTAGAATGAATAGACTTATAGACTTGTAAACGTATATTTAACCTTTTGTTAAAAGTAAATAGTAGCTAGGACTATGGGGAACTATACTTTTGTATTTTGCTATTATGCTTTACTGTATACTGAACGTAAGAAAACCTGATCTAATCCTGTACTTTTCTCTACAGAAAACTGTCCAGACCATAACCCTTCTCTGAGCAGTTGGAATCCAGGTCATCAACCAGACAAGCCTATTGTCGTCAGAAAGGGACATTTATTTAGACTGGAAACGTCTGCTTCTTTTCTTTCCCTAACAATCCAATCAGGAGGTAGGAAAAGGACCAGCTTTCTACCAATCACTGTTGTTTGTTTTGCTTTCTTAGTAATGTCCATACAAAAATTGCACTGACATCACTCTAAGAAGTGATTTGGTTAAACACAATGTCATCATCATTACAGCCATGTTTGAAGTGGCTTAGTATCAATAAAGTTTGAAATTTAAATTACACAGCGGTTTAAACATTATATTGTTTACAGCTTCTCTCTTTCCCACCACCGCTGCAGTCTGATGCTCACTAATTTATCTCCATGTGTCCTGCAGGTCGGGTAGTTTTTGCAGACAGCCCTGATGGTGCCAAAAACATAACCGTTAGAACTGGATACATCCTCATAGAAGATGATGGAGCCCTGCACATTGGAGGCCCCAAATGCCGCTATCGTTCCCGTGCATCCATCGCTCTATTGGGTCGTTCGAACAGCCAAGCGATCCCTAATGTTCCTGACTTTGGCCGCAAGTTCATAGGGGTCATGAGTGGTGGAACGCTAGAACTACATGGCACAAAATCAATCTCCTGGTCGTTGCTAACTCGCACGGTCCCAGCTTCTGGTTTATCCACCGGGGGTTATTCTTTCCAACGGAACTTTAGCCGGGGCATTAATCTACGTGTTGTGGACCAAGACACTTCTGCTGTTCTGTGGTCAGAGCGCTACGACACCCATGATTCCCGCAATGACAGCCAGCGGCTCACTCAGCAGCTCCGGGCGCTGCCAGAAGGACGCATTGTGGCCCTGGCTGTCGGCGATTCAGCTGTGAAAAGTCTTCTGGATGAGACCAAGAAGGCTATTGAAGAGAGGCTGGGGAGCAGCTATGTCTATGACCTCAAGTACAGGTAAATAATCCCTTTGCTTAATCAGGGATCTTGTATCATCCGCAATGCAGTATTTCTATATGCAGTACTTCAGTGCTTCTCTGTAATATTATATCGTGTTGTCATGGGCATGTTCCACACATGACATTTGGACATGGTGCGCTATAGATGCCTGTGAAGGTTTGTTATTGCTCTCTGAGGTGTGGGGCCTTGAGAGTTTGTTTTGTTTTAGATCTTCTGGGACCGATTTTAAGATAGTTTGTTATGGGATGGATCATTGTTCACAGGGCACCTCACTTTCTTTTCCTTTTTTGCAATCCCTTCACATGTGCCAGTTATTTGTCTTCCTGTTTTTACTCTGTTATTGCTAAAATGCAGTCTGCCAGGACAGGAAACGCGCACCGGGTAATGGGGTTTTGGACTGGGAGTATCCAGGATTTACGCAAAATGTGGCATTTCAGTTTTTCTTTTTACACATACAAGAAAACATGAACGCGACCTATTCCAGCAGCACCTTATAGTCTCAAAACACCTTAAAAACCAATCCATATACATTTACAATTATAACTATTGTACTATAAGTTGAAGTTTATTTTGATAAACACATTTATATTTGTGTTATTCCTAGCTCACTTATGTAAGCGCTAGACTAGATTCTCCAGTGTCACGTTTCACCACTGGGACTAGTTTTGAATTAGCAGTTGTCGTCTTGTGTCGTGGACTTCTTCTAAATAACGCAGGCAAAGTCTATTATCTTTATCAGCAGTTCATTGACCATACTAATTGCTCACTCTTGGGGGTTTTATACTAGGCTTACAATGGATTGGTGTCTGGTAAGGAGATTTACTTTCATTAAGAAAAACAGAAGAGCATTATAAGAATTCAGCATAAAAAAATCAATGGTAAAATATAACAAAGAACATCATTTTCAAGAATGCTCTTTGATCTTCTGCCTTTTAACATTTTTCCTGAAGCTCTATGCTTCCCAAATGATTTCACTGCAAATGAACATTTCCTGTAGTTCAGTCAACAGTGTCTTTTACGCTTCCTGACAAACCCTGTGCTTTGGCCTTCTACGGTCCCTGTGATAAACCCACATGTCTCATCTTGACCACAAAAATATAACATGAACTTTTTTATCATCTAAAGATTATGCACTGTGGTTTATAGAGTTGCTGAATGTAACTGAAGATTAATGTGTGTGTTTTTTTGTTATTTGTTAAGTCGTAAAATGGCATCAGTAAAGGTTAGGAATGTTTTTCTACATTGTGTTCTTGAAGGTCACTCATGTCATGGTTTAAATAACTGCTTTGAGAACCAGAATTATCTATGAATTATGTTTCCACGTCTCCAAATAAAGTATGAATCACTACTTTGACATTTAAGATATGAATAGCTATCACACCCATTTGTACAGCTACTATTTCTCTGTATTTGACCCAAAACATTGTCTGTGTTTGCAGGCAGGCATGGGCCTTGGTGGCAGTGGTGGGTGGCGGTAATACCTCTTGTTCAGAGGATGTAAAAGAGCATGAAAACCATGAGACCGGTGGCCAAGCCTGGGCAAGACGCAACTTCACCACAGTCAATGGAGTGGGCTTTTCCGTCAGTGCTTACAGTGAATGGAAAAATGGTAAGAATGAAAATGTATATTATATCATTTTTCATGTGCATTACTTGTCACATTCTCTTTGGTTTTGTACAGGAGTCGCCATCTCAGGCTTCCAGATTGATGCTCTCGATCAGGTTGTGTTGAATCTTCAGGATGAAGTTCAGAAAAGTTGGAAACCTAAAGATCAAGTGGTTGTGGCCAGCACCGACTACTCCATGTTCCAAGCGGAGGAGTTCACGCTGCTGCCCTGCCCTCACTGCAACAGTAGACAGGTCAGGATACAAGGTAAGACTGAAACTGTTCTTCTTGCAGAGATTTTTAGTCTTTTTTTGTTCAAATGTTTCTTTTACATACTTGTGGACAGTCTTTATCAAGCTCAAATAGCATTTTGACCTCTGGGAACAACTCTTTCTGCTGGTTTATTTGACTATTGAACATTTTTTTCAAAACTTGAAAAATAACAAAGTTGTCTACATCCTGAAAGCTGAAGTAGGCCAGCCTGTTTCATAAATGTATTTGTGTAAAATCAGAATCTGAATCAGAATATTTTTTTTGCTACATAAGTAACAGGAATTCACAGACTTGGAAATTGCTTTGGCTCAGTGCAACAGTCAGAAAGAGACAATAAAAATAAAGAATAAATAACACTTCTAAGGAATACATTTAAATTTAAAATAGAGTTACAGTTACTATTTACAATATACAAGTGCACATGGTGCACACAATGTAAGGTGACAGCAGTACAGTGAAGTAAAGTGACGTATGATGGGCAGTAAAGTGACTTTATGAAGGGCGGGGGGACAGGTTAAGAAGTGTTCAAGAGTCTAATAGCAGAGGGGAAGAAACTGTTCTTGTGGCGGGAGGTTCTAGTCCTGATGGACCGCAGTCTCCTGCTTGAGGGGAGTGGTTGGAATAGTCCATGTGCAGGGTGAGAGGGGTCGGTTGTGATACGACCAGCCCGGCCTCGAGCTCGGGCGACATGCTGTCGCTGACATGCTGACATGCTGTCTTTATCTTCTAAAGATGTGACATAGGCCAACAACACTACAACTAGAAAATTGTATTTTAAAGTTCTATAATAAAACATGGTTTTTATTACATACTGGAGTATATTGTTGTAGTTTCAAAGTTTGTAACCCCAGCTTTAAGTTGTCACATGTTATATATTGGGTTTTGTTTTCATTTCTACAGTTCTGCATAATGATTTTTATGTGTATTCTAGGGAAACCACAGTATAACCATGTGGGAGAAATCTTAGATGGCATTGATATGCGCGCTGAAGTGGCTCTACTCACCAGAAATATTCTTATCTATGGAGAAATGGAAAACACTTGTTATGATGACAATCTGTGCCAATACTTTAACTACGACACATTTGGAGGCCACATCAAGGTTTGTTCTGAAAGCACTGTATTTTAATGAAACTTTTCTTCTTTATTCAATGGACTTTATAACCAAATGTGATATTACTAAATGATGAGGGCGTATTGTTATTTCAGCCTCTGTTCCGACCGAAACGATCACATTAAAAGCAGAGGCAACATTGTGCTGAATCGCCAAATCCTAGTGAATGGTTACTGTAGTAATGGGTCCATACTTGAGAGATTACATTTGGATACTGTTGCTTTGGACAAGCTTTGTAGTAAGCATCACAATCATTAGATTTTCATTCAAATGTGATGCATTGATTTGTGCTGCTCCAAAGTCAATGGAGGGAAATTAGACCAGTGGGTAAAATTGGATTGGCCAATTTCTTTTTTTTAACAGAAACCAGTCTGTGGATTGTGCCATATTTAGCAGAGCGCAGTCAAATGGCTCATTACTTACTCATCTTTTTAACTGCCCAGAAATCTATGCTTTGATTGCCTGTTAGAAATGAATCAGCGCTGTCCTCGTGACTCATTCTTATTCACTGCCAAGTAAACTGTATTTAATAATCCACAAAGGCTTTAGAGAATTCTTGCTGAAAACCCATATAAAGTGTACATTGGAAACTGTGACTTCAAGTACAACTGTCAGTGCTGTAGCAATATTCACCGAGTTTTTTCACACCATTTTTCCCACGACAGATCCTTGGCAACTTTTCCTCAGTGCATCTTTCTGATGTGGAGCTCAAGAACATGGGCCAGCAGCGGGAGAAGGGCCGCTACCCACTGCACTTCCACATGTGCGGGGACGTGGACCGCAAAGGGGGCTACCGGGAGCCCGCCTACGTGGACGGACTGGCCATACACCACTCTTTCTCACGCTGCCTATCTATACATGCCACCAATGGGCTGTTGGTTAGTTGCATTTTGTTGATGTACATGTCATGTGTTACAGTCACTACCTTTGCAAAAATGTTGAAGCTGGGGGTATTTTTAAAGAATAATATTTGTATTGCTGTTGTATGTTGTTTGTCCCAACAGTAAATGGTTCAGACCGTGACATGCTGTCCTCATGTTATCAGAAAGCATGTTATCTTTTGCATACTTTCTAAACAAAGAAATAGTTCTGTGAGTCACATTTCCGTCACATTGGGCTGAGAGCTGATTGACTCAGTGAGGGTTTTCCACTTTTCTGCCTGATGTGACAGAGGTACATGCATGTGGAAGTGGAAACAAGTGATAGAAGCAAACCGTTTTGAGAGTGAGGAACTAGTTGTTTTTTTTAACACAGGATTTTATTCAATTGTGATTTGAATGATAGGTACCCGACATTTACAAATTACGATTATAAATATAAAGTAGGTATAATGTGGTTGTTTGGTCCTATAACAGATATCCTGGTTTAGTGTTTAGCCCTAATTCTTCAGTAAAATATGTGATAATGTAATAGTAAACTCCCTGTTGACATAAAGCAGTGCCAGGTCATGTATCCTTCCTTAATCCATTGTTGAAGTGTGATCTGTCATTCGTCATGTGATAACGTTGCAGTTGTCTCCTGTTTTTGTGCTCTTGATACTGTTTCTCACTGAGGATGTGGAGATACAACACATATTTTGAGCATTTTGTCTTTGTCCTTGTATTCAGGTGAAAAACACAGTCGGTTATGACACTCTGGGCCACTGCTTCTTTTTGGAAGATGGTATTGAGCAACGAAACACTTTTTACCATAACCTTGGCATGCTCACACGACCAGGGACACTGCTGCCCACTGACCGCAATGAGACTATGTGCACAGGCATCCGGGACAAAGTCTACAAGGGCTACACTCCTTCTCCAAGTACAGAATGCAAGTATGTGATTGTCAAGTACAATTTCTCATTGACTTCTTTTTTGTGTGCTATACTTTTGGGATCACATGTTCGTTCGTCTCATTTCGTGATACCTATAAAAACCATTTCGCAAAGCCTTTTATTTATTTGGTTAGAACAATACGTGGATTCACACAACAAATATCCACTACTGGCAGTGGCATAATCAAATGAATTGTAAATGGGATTAATGTTGTAGCATAAGCATTTGAATTGACTTATCTAATTTTGAAGCCTGTTATAATGAACAATAATATTTAAACTGCCAACATACTTAATCTTAATCTCACAAAAACATTTTAATAAGCTGAACCTAATGACCAGTAAAGTAAATTATCATCTCACTAATAGAGAATAAGCACATAATGTATTGTTCCAGGTGTCATAATGTATAGTCATAGTGTGCCTAGACATGTTTTGTAATGTATTTTTGGCTCCATCTTATGTTTTTAACTTTGTATCCTGGGGTCAATTACAGGGCAGTTTCAACATTCTGGATTGCCAACCCAAACAACAACCTTATCAATAACGCAGCTGCTGGGTCACAGGTAATAAGAGTTAAATCTTCCCCCTTTTTGGATTTAAGAAAACTTACTGTACTGCTCATAACAAGTTCATCAAAATTGGATTTGAAAGAAGCGTGGCTCGTATAGGTATATTACTTCTGACATGTGGGAGGGGGGGGAGGCTGCTTATCTCTGTGGGGGTATCACTGAGGTATTTGAGTTGTCTGCTGCTTATAACTATAGAATTAAACTTTCCTGAGCCGTAAATCTTTTATAAATCTTATACCTGAGCTTTACTTTCTGTTGTTATGGTCATTTTCTGTCCCTGGGTGATGTTTAATCCATGTTTTAGGATGCTGGCATATGGTTCGTGTTCCATAGCGCTTCCACTGGCGACTCTCACGGACTGGTACCGGAAACCAAAGCAGAGCTGACTCCTCTAGGGATTTTCTACAACAATCGGGTACACTCAAACTTTAAGGTATGCCCCTGATCCTATTCCAAACACGTAACACAAATGCCATTTAGCTTTGACATAAATTGACCAAAGGTGCTTGTAGTTTTGTAGTTTTGCATCATTTAACCACTTACATAAGAAGAAGAAGAGAAGAAGAGTGTAGTTTTTGGGCTTACTCACACATCTGGGCTGTACAATAGCACCTTGTTGTGTAATGACAGACGTCAGACAGGTACACTGTAAGTTCTTTGTCAGGTCTCAGCCGCTCTAAATGAAGGCTATGAGCGGTTTACCCCATTGGACTGAGCATAGATACAAGTGTATGAACTGTTTCTGCAGTGAATTGAAAGCAATACATTGTTGTTGGTTAGCTTTCTTTTTTTCCAGATATTTCCACTTCCTCATTTTGAACAGTAATTTGTCAAGTTTATTTATACTTCATTTCCCAAAATAAACTCATGGTCTTAATGCACGATGCCACAGTAATATTCTTTTCCTGTCGATATCTCCTTATTGAGGCTATTCAAATGTTTCTTCCTTGTAGGCTGGTCTCTTCATTGATAAAGGAGTGAAGATCACCAATGCCAGTGCAGCTGACCCCAGAGAATATCTCTGTCTCGATAACAATGCTAGGTTTGTATGGTGTACACTATAATAACATTCAAGTAAACAAAAGATATAGAATGTTAGTAAAAAAACAGTTTTTTAAAAATGGTCTTAGAATTATTTAACATTACCCAGGTTTTATGTTACACTCTGCAAATATTTTGGTATTTGTGGTTTACTAATGTATTTATGTAAGCCATTCCTAAGAACTGTGAATAAATCAATAAGTAGTTAAGTTTATCTCCATTGACCAGGTTAAGATAGAGTGAATAGTGTACTACTACATTTAAAGAGAACCTCTTTTGGGTTTGTGTTGACAGAACAAACAAGGCTTTACAGATAGAGTTTCCAGTCTTCGGCACCTTACCCAAACATTGCTCTCTACTAGACGGAAAAATCTTTCGTGCCCATTGAGACTGCTAACCAGTGTGTGTGAATGTGCAGTTCAGGAGTGTGTGAGAAATGCAGACTTTTTTAGCCTTTTAGAGATACAAAAATATGCATATCTGTTGATAGATTTCGTCCACATGTAAATGCTGATCCGAGTCGACCTCGTGTGTCTGCTGTCATCGACACACTAATATCCTTCAAGAACAATGACCTGGGCGCATGGATCAGAGGTGGTGATATTGTCATTCAGAACTCTGGGTAAGACACAAATTTTATCTTGTCAAAATATGATTAATATGACCTGTAATAATGAATGCATTGTTGTCTTTGTGCAGTTTTGCAGACAATGGAGTGGGACTCTCCTTTGCTAGGTAAGAACCTTGAATCCTTTATAGAATTGTTGTACTTTCCAATTTGTCATCATGAGTTTTCTCATTTTGTTCACTGATCTTTTGTGTTATTTGTACCTGACTCACTGTATGTTATATTTTCTTTAATTTGAACATAAATGTCATAGAAAGCAACAGTGTAGTCTACCAAAAACCAAGATGGTGTCCTTTTCAAATGAATGGCTTGTGCTCAGTAGCGCATGGGACATACACAAGGACCGAAAGATTAGCAGAACTCGCCCATATTTGGGCATCGTCTGGTCCTCCCGGTTTTGCGCCGTGGACGAGCTCCCATGATGCGGTGCAGTAAATACGCGTGTGTGGCTCTCATGCACATGCACAGATGGGCTCAGCTGCGCCCTGACCAATCAGAGCTGCTTATCAGAGCGGAGCCAGAGCAGGAAGAAAACCAGCCGAGATTGTTGCAATGAAGCGTGGATTTAAAGAAAACCTGAAGGATTTAAGAAGAAGAAAATTTAGGACAAAAAGGGACACTAAAATCCCCACAAAATCCGATCTTTATGAAAGCTGTAGGTTCTCTGTCAGCTGAGGGCGAGCTGTTTAAGTTTACATTGAGACATTTTTCTGGGTCGCCAGTACCATGGGCGCCCCCTGTGCCCATTGGTGGGACAGCTATAAGCTAGTAATACCCTATCCAGATATTATTATAGAGCCATACAAAGGACATACTGTATATTCAAACTTGCGTTCCCTCATGGGTCCCCTTTAATACTGGCTGTTCACAAGGTAAATTATCAAATTTGAATCATTTTTTAGTGATGGAAGTTATCCCAAGGATGAAGGCTCCAGTCAAGAGGTTACACAGTCTCTATTTGTTGGCGAAAGTCCAAACGGGGGAACCAATGGGGGACAAAATAAATACTGGGGCCAAGGAGGAGTGGATGGAAAGAACAGGACGCTGCCCAGAAACAGGTGAGCGCACGCAGCAGCAGCCAGTCCATTATTTTACAGTGGATCTGTGTCTAGTGTGTGGCTTTCACTTTCAAAGTAAACAGGCATTTAAATGTATGACATTAATTACTACAGTGTTAAATGTCATTAAGTTAATTTACATTTTTGCCTCTGCTTGAAAATAAAACTCAACTGAGTCTGGTCGTTGTCCTTTAGTTACTTCTGACAAATGTTTTTCTTTATTTAATCATAACTTCAAGGATAATATATTTCATCCCACACTGCAAAAGATGACAGAATTAAAGACAAAAAAATGCTCAAATTTGGCTAAATGTATCTAAATTTGAGCACATTTTGACTGCCTTAAAACAAGATTTGCCAGTGGAACAAGAAAAATTGTCTTGTTTTAAAAAGATACAAGATATTTCTCTCTTGGAATGAGAAAATAAAGCAATAGTTCTTGAATCAAGTCAAAATTGCTTGTCTCATTGGCAAATATCATTTTAAGACAGTCAGAATGAACTTAAGTCAAGTTAAAAAAACTCGATTCTAGTAATTATGATCTCATATTTGATCATTTTTTGCAGTGCATTATCTCAATATAATTTGATAAATCTTTTTCAGGACGTTTCCAATAAAGGGATTCCAGATTTATGATGGCCCTGTACGACTCACCAAAAGTACTTTTCGGGGCTTTCTGCCCACAGCGGAGCGCTACACCAGTGCAGTGGGATTCAACCTAAAGAACACTTGGCAACTAACCCCTCGCAATAACTTGTCCCAGCTGGCATTTCACAACACTGTAAGCACACCATCCAACTCCAAAGATCTATTCTACATGTTTAAAATAAATTGCAAAGTCGAGATGTACTTACAGAATTTAATGTCGTGACGGCTGAGTCAAAAACATCTGGCAAGCTTAGGTACAGGTGGCCCTCTGTGGTGGTATAAATTGAGAGTCATGCCAGTGCTGAGCTCCAGATGTGGTGTTTTCTAAAAGCATGAAGGCCCTCTAGTGACGGCTTTGTGAATAACCCAAATCTTGTCTTAGAACCTATGTAATGTCCAAAGAGATGATGTTTTAAAGATTTTTTTTTCTCTTTCCAACCCTCAGGTGAGTCTGCGAGCATTCTTTGGGCGACCAGGTCAATGGTTTGAGGAAAATGATTTGGACGGAGACAAGAATTCCATCTTTCACGATGTAGATGGTTCAGTAACGGGCTACAGAAATACTTACGTGGGAAGAGCAGACAATTACCTAATCCAGCATCCGGACTGCATCCCCACGCCGCAATGGAACGGCGTGATTTGTAGTGGTCAATACGCTCAAGTACGTTCTTATGTCCTGCAGCATGTTCAGTCTGTTTGTATGGATGCTTAGTGTCACACGTTTGCTTCTCAGGTGTACATACAAACTCAGGGAGCACCTGGCCTTTCCCTATCCATCAGCCGCGATGAATACCCCAGTTCACCTCTGACATTGCGAGGTATTAACAGCCAGGGGGCCTTGTCACAGCAGTACCAACCTATCCTTATGATGGGCAAGAGCTACACACTGCACTGGAGTGGACCTGCTCCCAGAGAAGTGGTACTTTCTATGATCAACTTTGACAAGTAGGTATTGGCACTGTAAGGAGAATCATTTAATTTAGAAAAAATCTAACCAGTTTCAATGTGTTCCATGTTTTTTCTGTATTTATCCTTTAGAGATGACTGGGTCCTGGTAGGTTTGTGTTACCAGGCTGATACAGTCTTTCGGATCATGGCTGATATCAACGACAGGCAAAGCAACACATTTGATGACCTTACTGACTATGGTACAGTGTCATCCTTTGAGGAGCTGCAAAAGAAATCAACGGAAAGAAAGTATTTCTTTGATCAAAATGTTGGGTCAGTTGTTTAAAAAAAAACAATCTACTGCAACATTTTTAGATGTTATTTCAGTTATAATGAATTTCTCTTCTCCCCTCTATAAAGCTTGTTGTGGCTTTATCTTCGCTCACGGCACGGCAGAGATGGGCACAGCTATTGTTCTGTAATGGGCTGTGAGAGAGTAAAGGTTCTGGCCACCACGACTTCGAAACAGACTTGCAATTGTACCTCCAGGGCTTACCCAAAGTATGCACTACCACCCTCTGCTTCACTGCCCATGCCAGTTCTAAACACTCAGCCATGCCAGAACTGTGGAGCTAAACAGGTATTCAGTGTTAAGAGGATTTTTGGTTTAGAGCTCCAGATGACATTTCTTATTTTATTTTTCAGGACGTATTTTCTAGTGAGCCATGGACAGATTATCTTCAAACCCAAGTTAAGTCACTCAGCAGCAGTGAGCAGAAAATGGGAGACAACAGCTCTTTTATAACAGTAAGCACACCTAGTCACATCTAACAAAGATCAAGCCACATTTGGTTTTAGAAAAAACAATATTTATATATTCCTGTCAGGTGAACAAGGAAAACATGCCCTTCTCCCAGCCTGGTTATTTTGTGGTGGCTGTGAATGCCTGTTCTGGCAAAGTGATCAAGTACACGTTGTTTGGAAAAATGGGCCTGAAATTGGAAAACTACCTGAAAACAGGAATACCAAAAAGGTAAAGAAATTATTTTCTATATTTGTCTTCTAGTTTGAACAGAAGTGATGCCCTCTCCCCCCAGCTCAATAGTACTCATGGCTACTAGAGGACACTTGGATGGCATAGCCAGTCTTGCACAACACCTAGTTCCACTTGGTTTAGCTAAGGTTGCTCATCTTCAGAATAAAGGTGAGGTTTGCAGAACAATATCAAATATATTTGATGCACATTTCATTCTTGTTACTTTCTCTGTAGAGAGTGTGGCCTTCTGGGGTTTTCAAGGAGGTTCTATGGCTCCTCCATGGGGTGATCTTCTGGCTAGTCAGGGCAATGATTTCCTGGGTGTGCAGGAGCGCTACCTGCCTCTGGCTTTGGAGTCGTATGGATGTCCACAGCCTGCAGCCACAACACGCAAAGACCTGGAACTACTCAAAGGAGCAACGACGCAATGACCAAAGAACCACAGAAATACTGCTTCTCAGAACTACACCAATACAACCAGCTGATGAATGTGAACTTCTAAATCTTTAATTTATTATGAAACAAACTATGTTTACCATTTCAAGAGGAACAAGGTGAATTTTTGCTTTACTGATTGACTCTTTTGTTTTTATAAGTGAGCCTCAGTTCAGCTGGCTCGATGCACTTTCTGTTTATCTATCCCTTTTTATGAACCATAATGATATCAGTATTTATTGAAAACTGGAGGACTACTTGTCATGATACCTTACAATCTTACATGAAAAAAATCTAAATATATCTTTCATAAATTCTATTTATTATTAAGCCTGATTTAAAAAGTACCACTGCAAAACTATCTTTTTAGCCTTCTCCATTAACACTTTATGCATTTGTCGTCGTAGTCAATGACCACGCAACAGCATATAGAAACTGGGTTGCTAATCATTGTGCAGCTGCAGACTGTGTTAAAGCACCTTTATGGATTCTGACAGGGGTTTACTGGATTATTGCAGATGTAATTCTTTATTTACAGTGCTGGCCACAGAGATGTAGCACTGGGTTACACATGGGTGTGCTCACTTTTTAACTGCAGTTAATGTTTTTCCTCTCACCTGCCTCAGTCTTTTTATTTATGTGTCAAACCATTGTAATATGATACAGACTTTATCGGGATTTACATCATGTTAAAGCTTAAACTCTAAATTATCAGAAGTGTTTTTTGGTGCCTTTACTTGCAAAGCGTGCAGTGTGATGTGAGCAGGGCTCCCCCACTGAGCAGTAAAACCTTCCATATGTGTGTAACTGGAGGCGTCTGAATGTCACTCAGTATTTCCTGGAGGACAGTAACCTTTCTGCCTTATAACCACTGTACCCCAAAAAGCTCGGCAAATTGTTTTTGAAAAACCTTTTAGATTTTGTGCGTGTGAGTTTTGTATGTGCAAACCAAATGTGCATTATATATTGTGTCCTCCTTCCCCCACTGTCGGAATTATGAGTTGTTACAATTGTAGCCTGGATAGAACAGTTTGATTTGTTTATTTTTTTTCAATAAATATAGTTTGTGAATGAAGTGAACGCTTGCTTATAAATCACTATAATAGATTATATTAATATTATAATTAATCATACTATTTAAATATTCAAAAAATAACATCTATCTAAATAGATATGGAGACGTTTGAGTTCTTGTGGAGATAATATACAGTCCTCCCACTTGGGGGCAGTATATATACAGTTATAATGTAAAACCTAAACCTAAAACTCGCAAAAAATCAAACTTTTATAAGAAGTTACTTGTTTCATATAGACAAGATTCACTTAACACATTCTCATGTACCAGTACATTTCCCATGGCATGTGGCCAAAGTAACCACTTTTGAGAACATCAAAAGAGGTCTTCTTTCTCTTCATCCATTTCTATGTCGGGGGAGCAACGGCCAATGCTCTGTGGAGCCACTGTTGCCCCACTTTTAAGAGCATACAAATATAGGGATAAACTCTGTATCATACACAAAAGGGCGGTCAGCTGTCTGTCTTCATACATTATAGATATCCCTGCATGCATAGGACAAACATCCTGGAGATGATCATTTTAGAGGGCTCTTGTATGGGAAGAATTCTGACATAGCGGAGTTTGTAAAAGTTGTAATCTGCTCAGAGGATTGATGGTCCTCACAGATGGCCGCGCACGCCTCATAGAGATTTTACGTCTCCATAAAGGGCCAGGTCCATGAAGACGGCACATTCCCACACATTACACTTTTCTGAAAATTCAATGTGACAGATTGATGGAACACAAAATCCCTTCACTCACATCGGCATCTGCTTTCTCTCTCATTCCATTATTTCAGGTATCGGAATCAGAATCATTTTTATTGCCTACGTAAGTAACAGGAAGTCACAGACTTGGAAATTGCTTTGGCTCAGTGCAACAGTCAGAAAGAGATAATAAAAAAAATAAAGAGTAAAAAACACTTCTAAGGAATACATTTAAATTTAAAATAGAGTTACAGTTACTATCTACAATATATCTAGTTATATACAATATAACTAGATATTTACAATATAGTTTTTTTTAATAACAATGTCACATGATTGAGGTGTGCAGGCTTTTTCACAGCCGTGCTTTAATTATGCAAGAGATACCGTAGGTTTTTGAACTGTGTAAATACAATTAGATAAATACCAAGGCCAAATATAACATTGATAGTGTGAGCAGGAGAGTAGGCGGGCGCCCTATCACTACATTATCACAGCCCATTGTTAAGAGGAGGAGTTTAACCAACACAGATAATGCAAATATATCAGTATTTTAAAAATGATTATCATGGGGTAACAGCTATATACTGTAAATCTAAATGTGAAATTGAGTCTGGTCCAATGCATGAAGCATAATTACATATATTTTGAATATGATGAATATCTAAACTAAATCCATTTGAATAAACGTGGCCTACCATTATGTAAAAGAGAAGGGATTTTCTGCCAAACAACAGATTTATTTATATTCAGCAGCTAAAATGCCTAATAGTTTGTGCACTCACACTTACACCTTGTTCAAAAGTTTATAATAATTCTCCACCTATGCATGATGCTATAATCTCTCCTTTAGCGGTGCCGGTTGAATCCCTGCTGATTCTCTGGGATGGTGGTCCTGAATAATTAAACAATCCCGACAGCCTTGTAGGGGTCCGTTACCATGACAACCCCTCCTCCGGTGCCCCGTTTGCCCCAAGGAGCAGCGTAAATCCCCTGTCTACTTAATGTCACTGGATAACTGCACGGCAAAGTGGATTGCAAGAAAACACAGGTAAGTCAAGGAGTAAGTTAGAATACTCATGGATGTATATTCTAGTAGCCTATTTTTGATACTTTTTGTTTTTTTGATTTCTATACTATACATCCTGCACATCTGATAGCACCCAGTGATGTCTTAAAACTCAGCCTGACCCAATGACCCCTGATTCTTGGTAATCCATTTGATCCTGGACAAAAAAATTGACATTAATTTTGGACTCTTAAATACGCGGCGATATCAGATCATCCATAAAGAATATAGAATGCTCCTAATGCTGTAAACAAGATCATGCAATGACCTACTTATTTCGGGTCAACCATTCCTGGATCATTAATGATCAGTCACAGGTATGATAATCATCTCCATGTTTGTCTGTGGGCAGAATTGTGAAAAAACAACTGGACAGATGGAGCTGAAATGTGGTGTGTAGGTGGGATGTGATGGTATAGGAAGACCCCATTATATCACCAAGATGGTCTGTGGTGCCGGGTATGCGTTCTTCAAGTACATGTTCCAGTTTTGTTTATGTATATAGTGCCACTTAATAGATTCTTCACATCTATTGTCTATCAATCAATATGTCCTAACAACAGCTTAGACGGCAGCGGCACAGTGGGAGGTGGAGTGAGTAGTGCACTGGTTCAACACCAGTCAAAGCATGGCCAGGTCAAATCTGACCCATCAACCTCTAGAGATGGGTCCCTGGCTTTTGCACTATTGCCCCTGAATGATGCAGAGGACACATTTTCCGCTGAAGACAATGTAACTATAAGATACTATATTTACATTTATGACTAGGCAAAAATCAGGCAGAATGACAATGAGTACACGGTGACGGCACAGTGGCTGAGTGGATAGCACTCTCATTTCTCCTTAAGAAGGTCCGCGGTTCGAATCCTGGTCTGCGTAGGTTTCCTTCGGGTTCTCTGGTTTCGCCTACCACTACTCCCAAAAATTCTCCAGCTCCAGTCCTGACTAAGTTGAGCATCAACCTCTGGAGATGGTCACAAGGTGCAATCAATCACTGCCCCTGATAGACACCCTCGTGGCATCAGGATGGGTCAAATGCAGAGGATGCATTGCCCTACGGGGATAAATTAAGTGCACCTTTACAGGTTTTTGTTTTTTGTATTCATTATTTTGGAATGTTTGGAAAAATCTCCCCATTAAGTGAATGGAGAGGGTTCTAATATGGGTGGATCAATCCAAAATACAGCTATCTACAAACTAAAAACACAGGAAACTCTGAATGCCATAAACATGTAAACCAGCAAACAAGTAAAGCTATTATACGCAGAGCACAGAAGATGAAGCGCAGAGAGGTTGGTGCCGTGTTAAGGTCACTAGAATCACTTGACTGATGTCTGTAATGGTTCCCAATGGCTTGTGGATGAGGCATGCTCCACTGAATGACTGATTCTCTCTCTATGGACCCACACAAAGTCAATTCCTCTTTGACATCAAATGATTCCGCCTCCCCGGCCTATTAGACACTGAATTAACCTTCTACCTGAAGATTAGGGGGTATGAGGAGCGACTGTCGAACTCCACGCCAAAATAGTGAATATGTCTTGTACTTTTCACACAGCACCAGCTGAGCTAATGACTCCACAGAAATGTAATAAAAAGAGGATTAGAAAGTAGCGGTTATGTCAAAGGTGCTTATGTTCTGTTTTAATACAAAGTCTCAGGGGCTCACATGTTTTTCGGCTGAACACAGCATGCTATTTATCAAGCTATGTAAAGCCAGTTTTACCTGATTCAGTCATCTGTGGATTTGAAAGAAGACACAGTGCAAATGTGTATACTCAACCAGCCATACATACAATGCATTTAGCATAAATAGATACACTGAACGTGTATTTTATTTGCTTGTGTAGTGCTCAATGTAATACAGAAAATCACAAGCTTGTTGGAGTATTATCAGTCAGATCCTCTGCTTGTTTCCATGCTACCAACACCCCTAACCGTGCCAATGCTCTCTCATCAATCAGAACTTTGAATTTCACTTTTCATTTTTTTCAACAAAATCTAATAATTTTAAGGAACAGGATACTAAAGGGCCAAAAGTCTCTTATACATTATTAAATGTGTGTTGAGATAACACTTATTTGTAATACAAAAAAGGAGATTTGCACACATTAATAATGAATGTGTTGCACACTTCTGTCTTTCTGCACATCTGAGTGAAAC